TCTCTCTCTCTCTCTCTCTCTCTCTCTCTCTCTCTCTCTCTCTCTCTCTCTCTCTCTCTCTCTCTCTCTCTCTCTCTATCTATCTATCTATCTATCTATCTATCTATACTTTAAACCAGCTCCCAAAGAATAGGTACAGCAGAAATTATGCTCAATCGGTCAATAGATTTAATAAAGTAAATAAATTCACAATAAATATATTCAATTTGGGGTGAATGCAAGGCAGAGCAGGCTGCAGGGATGTCTCTCGGATCATTTACCATCTTCCTTATTCCTAATTACCTAACAATAGCAATCAAAGTGAAGTTGGAGAAACAAAACCCTAGCGGAAGAGGGTGGGGCGGGGAGAAAGAACAGAAGAGAAGGTGTTTTTTATTTAGAAAGATCTGCAAACTGAACTTGATTTATCCACAGCGGTAGCTTTCCACCCGGCTTCTCTCGGCTATTTACCAAAATCGGGATGCTAGTCAACAGTTCTAAGATTAGCCTGACTCTGAAATGGTTCTTCCTGTTTTGAAAAACAAGACATGCTCTCTATCCAGTCCGTTTCACGCCTGAATGCCCGCAGTCAATAGCTTCCCAGATCCCCTTCAAAGTCACAACTATGAAGCTGCCGTTTATTGTAAAAGAAAAAAGAAAAAAAGTTATTAAATATCCTGGGAATAATCGTAAGAAATGCTTGGAACGTGGGTGTAATTAATTTAAAATTAAATCCACCTATTTGGAGCACTCCCCACTGGGCACTACAGGTCTCCTGCGTGAGCAGGGTGTTGGACTAGATGGCCTCCAAGGCCCCTTCCAACTCTGGTACTGTTTATTGTTTACTGTTTACTATTTGCCACTGCTGTCCTAAAAGCAGGGATGGGCAGAGTTCAAGACCATCCTCCTGGATGATTTTTTGAAGCTACAATATCCAGCTGCTGAAGCCCCATGCAAAAGGCATAGACTCAACATGCAGAACCCAGGGAAGTCTTTTTAAGCATCAAGGTAGATTGGTGGAGAAAAACAATGTTAAAAGGCTAATTCTGGTCACGTGCCTCCCCTCCCTCCGAGCTTGCTTAATTTCAAGAGAAGATACTTCGTTGCTGCCACGAAAAATCATACTGACATCAGAAATCCTTACTGATCTTATTAGACGGGTTGCCTAGAAATCAGACAGGAGGTCAGCTCTTGTCCCCCCTCCCCCTTTCTGCAAGCGTCATTCAAAACAACATGAGAACAGAGAGAGAACGAAAAAGAGAGCTCCAGTATGGTCTAATGGTAAAGGAAAAGTGGTAGAAACCAGGAGACTGTGAGTTCTAGTCCCACTTTAGGAATGACAACAGCTAGGATGACTTTGAGCCAATCACCAGGAGACCGTGAGTTCTAGTTTCCCTTTAGCCATGATGCCAGCTAGGGTAATTTTGGGGCAATCCCCAGAAGACTCTGAGTTCTAGTCCCACNATGTAGGGCTTTAAAAGTAACGACTAGCACCTTGAAGCGGGTCCGGAGACCAATGGGGAAAAACAAGCCTCCCATTTGGTTTCATCCCAGAGAGGTAAGCAAAAGTATGCAAACTTGGTGCTGAAAATAGGATTCAAGGGGATTTTTCTGTCCCTAAACTGCTTCCATTCCAGTTCTTCGTTGCAAGTACTGTTTATCTAGATAAATGAGTGCCGGAGACTTTTAATTCCTACACTTTCCCAGCTCCCCAAAACGCACACACTTTTTAGTGTGTCAGGTTTTCAGACAGTATGCCTGCAGGCAGAATGTACCTTGTTTACTGATTACAAATAAATCATTTTGGCAGTTGAATGGGATAAAAATGCTGTTATATAATCAATCAACACCTCCGATTTCTCCGAGGAAGTTTTCTGTGAGAATATTTTGTCTATCACTTTCCCATCCTGTTTATCGCTCGGTTATCACTGCAAAACCTGGTGTAGCAGCTACTACTGCTAAGCAGGTTTCGGCAACATCCCCCCCCCCCCACCTCACCTGCAACTAAAGTTTGCCTTAGTGGCAATGTTCTTCTGCGCTACTTACATCTTCGATGATTAGATCTGCTTCTTCGTTTGTTTTCCCTGGGTATCGTATCTTCATGTCATTGAAAATGGCTAAAGTTTCCTTTGTCAATAATTCGTCCTGTTCCACGGTTCCCTGCTGCATTTCACCCTGCCAAGTGAGAACGAAGGTATGAGATAGCTGAAAAATTCTGTTTCAGTGCCAGTGACTGCAAAACCATTCAGTGTTTAAATTGTCAGTTACTTCAATGTGAAATTGAATTAGCAGGTAGCTCTTTAATATATCTAAACCAGGGGTGTCAAACCCAAGCCCTGAGGACCAGATGCAGCCCTCAGGGTGCTTAGATCTGGCTCATGGGGCCACCTTGGAAACAGCAAAGGACCAGTCCATGGTGCCTCTGCCCGCAAAAACGGGCTCCCAATCTCCGTTTTCATCTGGGATGGGCTTCTGCAAGCCTCTGCCAGTGAAAATGGAGCTCCATTTTCAATGGCAGAGGGTTTCAGGAGGCCGTCCCAGCTGAAAACAGAGACTGGGAGCCTGTTTTCGCTGGCAGAGGCACCGCAGGCCACCACAGGCGCCCCTGACACAAGTGACGGCAAGCTGGCCATGCCCATCTTGGCCACGCCCACCCTGGCCCCCTGAGGTCAAACACAATCCTGATGCAGCCCTCAATGAAATTGAGTTTGACACCCCTGATCTAGACAATATCTTCCTTGACAATAACATATTCATACAATGGAAATAAATAAAATAGCACATTTTAGATTTAGATTTAGATTTAGATTTTATTTAGTTTGTATTCCCAAGAGACTCAGGGCAGCTCACAATAAAAAGGGGAGGAGATACAAAAAAATAAAAACAGCGATTTAAAATTCAACAACAGTCGTAACCTCGAATGGGGCTGGATAGTTCAACAGCCCCAGGCCCGCCGGAACAGCCAGGTCTTAGTTGCTTTGCGGAAGGCCAGAAGGGTANGTATAGCTAAAAGTCCGTGGAGATTCTGTCTTCCAGGTCATGGTTCTCCCAAAAGTGCTTTTTTCAGGAGGCAACTGGACTTTCTTGTTTTTTTTCCTTTTCTTTTGAACCTTTTCTTTTTCCTTTTCTTCAAACCATAACCTGGACAACGGAGAATCTCTACGGACTGTGTAGCAATGGCACCCAACACCGCCAGTTTAGCAACCATTCAAAATTACAACAGGGCTGAAAAAAAAGTGATTAATGACTGGTCCTTGAATTATGACTTGTCGCAGTTGTCCCCATGGTCACACGATCAAAATCCGGGCCCTCGTCAACCAGCTTGCATTTACAATGGTTTTGCAACAACGTGGGATCACGTGATCGCCATTTGCCACCTTCCCAGAGGGATTCCGATGAGCAAATTCAACAGAGGAAACCCGGATTCATTTAACAATCCATGTGATTTGCTTAACAACAACGGGGAAAATGCCCCTAAATTCAGGTGCCACTCACTTCGCAACCACATCGCTTAGGGGTGGAAGTTCCATTCCCAAGCGTAGGTTGCAACTCGAGGATAATTTCCCTGGGAGAAAAAATGTAAATGGTTACTCTGGTAACTGTAAAGAGTTGCTTTAAATGAGGTCAGCATCGAAGATGACTAATCGGAGTTCATTAGTCCCTAATCCACAACACAAATTGCAATCACCCCATCTTGATTGTTGGCAACCCTCTACGTCTTTTGCTAATTTCCGAGAAAGAGTGAAGGCATGATTTCTGACGTTGCTTCCTCTTCTGGCTACCACAACATTCCTCTTCCTCAAATCGGTGCCCAGCAGAAAGGGAAGTATCCAAATGGTGCCCAGCCAACACTCGGGCATTGACCAAGGCTGAACTTCAAGAAAACACATTTTGGATTCACATGAACCGCAATCAAGCAATTTCAAAAAATGAAATAAGATTGGTTTGGCATGATCTGTTTTGAACAACCTGTGCTGGCTACTAGCTATAACTTTTAATTAGAATGGAATGGGTATGGGAATAGAACAACAGAACAATAGCAATAGCAATAGCAGTTAGACTTATATACCGCTTCATAGGGCTTTCAGCCCTCTCTAAGCGGTTTACAGAGTCGGCATATCACCCCCAACAACAATCTGGGTCCTCATTTTACCCACCTCGGAAGGATGGAAGGCTGAGTCAACCCTGAGCCGGTGAGATTTGAAC